TAGATGTGCAGTAAGGTTTCGGAATTTTGATTTTGCCCCGGGGGGTCAAATGGGGGTCGAAAAATGACGTTTTTTATGCAAAAAGCCCCGTCTTCCCTGAACTCCTCTTACATTTTACAAAGTAGCCTAATCATCTTTTGGGAGATGGTTGGTGGTGTCATGTAGATGTGCAGTAAGGTTTTAGAATGTTGATTTTGCCCCGGGGGGAGTAATGGTGTCGAAAAATGATATTTTAAAAAGTGAGGTCAAGGTCAAAGGAAAATTCAAGGTCAAAATATGTTGACGTATTAATAGCTCTTAGCAGTATGTATCAGCATATGACGTTTGATAAATATATCTTGAATAGTTTATTCAAAACTGGTCTAGACATTAATTTTAGAAAAGTGAGGTCAAGGTCACAGGAAAGGTCAAGGTAAAAAAGAGTGAAGCATCGTAAAGCTTACATCAGTATGTATCATCATGTGAAGTTTCATTACACAACTTGAATGGTTTCTTTAAAATAAAGCTAAACACTAATTTAAAGAAAAGTTATGTGAAGATCAAAGGAAAAGTCAAAGTCAAAAAATATTGCTGCAGTTGGATATTTACTTCAGTATGCATCAACATATGAACTTTGATAAAAATATCTAGAAAGTTTCTTTGAGCCCGATGGAAAGACAGATGGAAGGGTGGAGGACGGACATGACAAAAACTATACATGTATTCCTAATCATGGTGTGGCATAAAAAACTTGAATCTACATTATATGAGCATGTTTCCATCTATCAAGATTATACAAGCAAATTCAAAGAATTGTGGTCCTCTGCTTTCTGTGTTTTAGTGAATGAGATACCATAATTTATGGCAGATTGTGTGTCAAATATGCACCCCTATCATATATATCAATTTTTGAAAATTGGGTCAAAGGGGAAAAATCATAGCATGCTCTGAAACATTTTGTTGCAGGTAATGTACATGTCAAATATGAAAGTCCTATCTCTTTTGAATCAAAAGTTATATATACAATATAATATTTTTGAAAAGTAGGTTAAACTTCTAGGTCAAGGTCACAGAGTCAAAAGTCATGATATATTTAGAAAAGTCTTTTCACATGTAATAAACAGGTATAATTTGAATGCCCTTTCTTTTCTCTTTCAAAATGATCAATTTATAATGTTATTTTTTGGAAAGTAGGTAAAACTTTAAGGTCAACGTCTCACTTGGGTTAAAAAATCATAGTATATTTAGAAAGTTTTGTGGTAATGTGCATGTGAAATATGAAAGCACTATCTCTTATCATTCAAAAGTTATGACCAAGGTTAAATTTATTGTGACAGATGCACATACTAGTTGTCAATAAGATGGACAGACTGACAGACAAATGAGATTTAGTGTCCCCTCCCTTTCCCCAAAATGGGGGACAAGAATATGCCCTTGCTGTTCTTGAGAAGAAGATTTATGATGGAAAAAATCCCCTGCATATTTCTTAACGCAAATTAATATTGTGTTCTTATGTCATTTTGTTTGTTGTTAAACATCCCTCTCAGGAATTTTTCACTCATATGGAGACACCACCATTTGAAAAATAATGAGGACAAGTTAGATTTGAGGTCAACATTCATTTTAGGAGTTTTCAACCATTAAGACGTAAAGAAATATTAACTCGATCCTTCCCCTCACCCCTTCCCAGACCCCTGTTTGTTCATGTATGCAAAAAAAAAAATGTTTATACAAATAGTTTAATGTGGTCCATCTCTGAATGATTCTCATTCCTAATTCTAGGAAGATATGTTGACACAAATTCATGAATAAAATGTCAAGTAATCTTATCATTGATGCGCTTTTATTTAATTTACTGCAGTCATATTGTGAACATTTCCAGCTCATTAGGAGGGTGGGGATGACCTCTAGGGGTTCATAACCTTTATACCATTAAATTTACATAACATAATAACACAATATTATCTATAGTCAAATGGAAAAAGTTTCCTACTATTTAGGAGTCACATGATCATTTGTCATTACAGGGACAGGGAAATGGATTGGGAGATCGCCCCCTCAACACCCCCCCCCCCTCCCTTTCCCCCGGAATTTGCAGGACTATATAATATGTACTGGAGGAAATAAAAAATGACTTTGGATGCCCTAAGTGTCCCTCCACCCTAGAAAACAGACCAAACCATAACTTCTTTTTTTTTCTTGCTTCTCAGGAAATTCTGGTCTGGAACCCCCCCCCCTACCCCCTCCCCCCCCCCCCCGTCCCTCCAAGAAAAAAAAAATTCTGGATCTTGTAACTGAATGTAACGTTGATAACGGGGGATAACTCTTCAGAATGTGAAATTCGTCTATTGTAGCATCGGATGACCTTTGATCCTTTAAACTTTAACCTAACCGTTTGCATTTCAGACTATTTTACCCAAATCTATACCAAAACTTGTACTTACCGATTGTTATTATTTAGGCCCTGTCATCTTCATGAAATATAATCCAGTTAAAACACAAAATGAAATAATTCCTACCGACATATATGCAAATATGCACACTAGTATCCTACTGCACGTGCAGTGAAATCTAAAATGATAATGCCAATGGTAAAACTAGTACTTAAGTTGGGTACGTGACGCAAGCCCAATGTGATGCAGGTGTTCAGATACATGTTTAGTGCAAGAACAAATTGAAAATTATCATTTACAAAAGATGTTTTATTTTAGCTTTGCAATCTAGGCCTATTTGCAAAAACAGACAAATAAGGTGTGTTTGTGTGTGTGTGTTGATGGGAGACGGGTGGGGGTTGACTATTAAATTGATTGTGTATATGGCAGCTTTCAAGAAGTTTCTGCCTAATCAAATATAAATAAACTTTGCACATATTGAAAAATTCATCAAAAACGCTTTACACCAATTTTGATAATATTATTTGTTGTTAATCTATATGAGAAAATAGATTTAAAAAGTTCCAATTATGTGCCAAAAATCCTCCCCCCCCCCCCTTTATCAAACCTAATTTACATCATTAATCTAATTCTGTAGTTTAATTTCCGACTGGTAATGAATTAAGAATATGAAATACCTATAAAATGGAGGCCCATGGGTCACATGGTCACTAGCCGCAGATCTGTAGCGTTATGGTATTATATATTAGTCTTTGACTGCAGATCCTGTAATGCAAAAAAGGTGCAATTTACGGCGCAATATTTTTTGCGCACTTCTGGGGAGAATTTCTCCACTTTCCAGCATCGGTCAATTTACTACCTTTCACTCCCTATTTCTAGGCACATTATTTAATCAATCTGTATATTTTATCCATCTCCCAACCCTTTATTGTCGTCTCTACTCGAGATAAACTCGCTTTATTAAAATTATTTGTTAGATTGCTGAAAATTCACATCAAGCGAGTTTATTGCCTGTAGAGATTACTATAAATGACTGGGAGGTGGACAAAATATACATATTGGCCAGAGAATGTGTCTAAAATTAGGGAGTGAAAGGTAGTTGATTGCCTAATGCTAGAAAGTGGAGAAATTCTGCCCAAAGTGCTCAAAAAATATTGCGCGTAAATTGCACCTTTTTTGCATATGGGGATCTGTAGCGTTATGATCAAAGACAAATATATAAAACCAGATCAGCAGCTACATGGTCACCTGAGCATATTATGCTCAATTTGATGAATACATGTATTATGTAAATTATTGAATTATATTGACTTTTCATTGGCGGATCCAGAGGGGGGGGGGGTCCGGGGGTTGGAACCCCCTTTATTTTTTGCCAAGTGGAGAGAGAGAGAGAGAGGGAGGATAAAAAGTTTTCTTAGATTATATATTTATAAGTCTTATTTATTGAATAGATAGATTCTCACACATTTAGTTTCCTCCAATCACCTTCTCTATTATATTTTTTATGACAGAATGGTTGCGAGGTTTAATTTGATATTAGATTCCCGCGATCTTTGGCTGTGTTTGCTAAATATGTACCGTTTTTATCATATCTTGATCAATTGAACGAACTTAAACATGTAACTCTTTGTTTTAAAGCCCACCCGCACCCCACCCCAAAAAGGTTTTTCAAATTCTTAAAGAAAATTCTTTATAATCTTCAACAGTGAAACGAATCCATTCAATTTTAAGGCTTCCGTAATTTTTGATTTTTTTTTTTTTTTTTTTTTTTTTTTTGCTTTGTTTTGTTCGGAATGGGGGTACGCTTTTTTTAAAGGACATAAAACATAGATAGTATTTACCACAACCTTAGATCTTTCCATACAAGTCTGTGAATCTTTGCTTGAGAATATGTAGGGGGGGGGGTTAGAGGGGCATAACCCTGGAACCCCCCCTTTCAAAAATTGCTGGATCCGCCTCTGCTTTTTCCTTGGTAAAGCCCAATATGAAGAAGTGTGCATTTAGAGGCAAACACCTTAGTGCGGGTATTACTGTCTCATGACAGCATCTAGTATTACATACCGGTAGTTTGTATCTTTTTATTTTTAGGGAGTTGTTAGACAATATTCTTCAAAATATAGTGTTCTTCTTTTAACCAGTTGTTCAGATAGGTCCATATAGCAGAATTTCAAAAAAAAAAAAAAAAATATGAATTCAATTTTATTGAGAACAGTTACATGTATATAAGTATGGATAGTTAATTTCATTCAAGAAAAAAATAAACCATCGAAAAGATTTAATTAGAGGAAAAGGGTTTCTCGGTACAGATGAAGAGGCTATAAATTAAAGGTCTATTTAATGGGAATAGATCCGAGAGCCTCTATGAAGTCCCATTAAATCAGCAGCTGTCAATGTAAGAAAATTAAATAAAGACATTTTTAACTTCTCTTACTCAGAGAGTGTATAAAAACCACTGAACGCCAAATATACATACATTAGAAAGAATTTTACTTGTTTGAATTGAAAAGGCTCTCTTGCAGACCAGACGCCATTTTACTGCATGGGAAGTAATATAACATTCGTATCAGGTTATAAGCCACAGTGACATGAAATTAAGAAGAAAATTTTGAATGTTTTATCACATGTCACCTAATGACGTCTGATCATCATTTGTGTTTCGCAGACGGATGTCCCGTTTGCAACTGTGGGATACCAAGGCCAAAACCAAGAATCTGGAATCCAAGGACCGTTCAGGAAGGCAAAACAACACCAGTTGAACCACCAGCCTCCTTTTAAGACAGAAGCACAGTTTCCTCTAGTCCACTGATCGTTATCTCTGTCAAACGTCGAGAATTCCATTCCAGACAGATTCCCGTAATATGAGCCAGTGTGTAAAATACTGTCACCTGGAGATTTATATAAAGCCAACTTTACAATAATGTTTGTTTTACATCTCTTCCGACTTCATCTGAAAGTATTTGGTCGATAGGTAGATGAGGATGTTTTTTTCTCAGAAAATATTATTTTCATTGACATTTGCATTGAAAAAAAATGCTTCCTCGAGGTTACTAAATATTTGAGTCGAGCCATTTTAAACCAGTCGAAAGTGAGAGGGTAACAAAACGGTTTTTAAATGGCCTTACTAAGCTATTTTATAAAGACATATTCACGTTTTCTTTCATTTCTAAGTTTAAAATAGTATAATAGTAATTCTACACATCTCTCTCGATAATGAAGTGAGAATAATTTCTATTAAAGTACCTAGGGTTCCGGAGGCATTCCCCGCCAGAAAGAGTTGATAGTTATCTGCTTCATTTAAAACTGAGAACTGATCGTACAACTCGTATAGTTTGCTACCGTTAACCAGAGTGATGGAAATGTAGAGACTTGAGGTCTTTTCCTTTGTTAACTGGTGGATCACTTCATTTCCTGAGTAACAAAAATTATAATTAATAATGTGTAAACGGCATTATCCCGCTGCAGACGAATTTGTAGATTACTAAGTGGATGAAGCTAATCACATGACGCCATGAAATTTTCCGCATTACGTCGCCGTCAAGGAATAAAATGAAATCGGGCACGCGATTCCGTTCGAAGCGTTGTTATTGTAAATAAAAATGGCGGCTAAGAAACGGTTTACGTAGGTAGTTTGATTACTTAAGTTTCTTGTTGCGATATTTTACGTTGAATGTTATTGAAATAAAAGTTGATATTTTCATGATATGCACCAAGATTTCTTTTTTAATATTTAAGAAGGCCTTCAGCGGGATAAATTCGTAACACAGTCAGTTAGTGACTCAATACGGGGTCATACAGGTTGTGAAATGGAAATCCGTATTGGGACTTGGCTTCGCCTCGCCCAATACGGGTTTCCATTTCACACCCTGTATGACTCTGTATTAGGTCACTAACTGATTGTGTAACTGATAATACCATTAGTAGTAAATGATGGATTAAGGAAAAGTAAAATTATAAGTGTACGAGGGGTGATAAAAAAGTTCGCGATCTATCTCTTTATCTACAAAACCACATTTCAGATTAGAATAAAAATTGGTACACACATAGCCATTCACGGGCTCTATAAATAGCATATGCTGAATAAAGTTTTGCTCCTTGATTGTGACGTTACGATGTGAAAATGACGTCACTATGTAGGTCACTTGTCACGAAAAATGGTTGTCTCACTCGTACTCGTTCAACAAACGACTGTAGAATTTATTATATATCTTAGAAATCCCTTTGAAGTAGCGTATAATAATTTGTACACAGTTTCTAAAGATAAATGACTTCCTATAAATTCAGTCGATACATCAAGATTCCATTGGTCGTTTTAGTGAAGGAAGACAGATGGTTATAAATGATACCAGACCTGCCTACCCTTCCGCTTTTGGCGTAATTTTTCCGCTTTTTACCACATATTTACGCTTTTACGCCACTTGTATTTAAGTGTACGCTTTTGAATTTTGGTTTAAAATCCTTTATGAACGACCAAATCTAGAGTTAAAGTACGACCTGCTGAAATGGATTGAGAAGTTCTAATGAAAGTAATTAAAAGAGGACTGGTTCAATAACGTACGTATTATACCTCGTAGTTACATGTAAACTGGTATGGCGAAGATTTGAAAGACGAGAAAGAACTACTTACACTGTACGTTAATATAAAATGATATTGAAATAGGTACAGTCATTTCTCTGCTCAATTTAGTTTATTTTAACATTGCTTAAAACAAGAAAGAGAAATGTGAGTGTTAAAAAGATAAAATATAATGTTATAATAATATTAATATACGATTTGTGTAACCATGCAAACGCAAGCCTTCAATTAAGTGATTTGATACAAATCAACCAAATGCTTCATTAAGGATGTACGCTTGAATTGCGTTTGACATAGGAAACTGATATTTTATTAATTGATCTGAAAAAGAAAATTTTATGCCAGCTTTGTTTAGTAATGTTCAATTTTGGTTGTTTTGAGAATTATAGTAGTAAGAACAACGAAATAAGAAAAATTGATTGATTACGCTTCTGCAACTGAAATTCCTCCAAAAAATGTACTGAAATTACACCCTTGCAATGAAAAGGGTAGGCAGGTCTGTGATACTGGTTTTGTTGCCCAATGAGAGCAAATTTGAAAAGAGATGTGTATTTGATGAAGCAATTTGCTATCAAAGACCTCCAATTTAGACTTTGAAAAATAGTTGAATATTTCAACAATAATATAGTTATTAAATACCTAAAACATCGTTTGCTTTAGATTTTAAACATATTAGATATGATAAAAAGGAGGCACCCATTCTTTATCCACCTTGAATAAACCTCTCTCCCAAGACAGAAAATTTGGGTTTTGATGATCGTCATGCTTATTTTTGGAAAGGAAATTCTTATCCACTCATTCTGTTGTCGAGATTTGACTATTTCTGACAAATGAACTGTTCTTGTTATAAAAATTAACTTACATGGAAAGAAATATAAAACTCAGAAAAATCTTTCAGCTTTTGTGACAGAACGCTAAAGAGGGGGTCACGTGATCGCCTATATCACGTGATTCGCGCATGAGCAGAACGGTGGCAGATGTGCATTAAAATCGGAGAGGACTAATTTAAAATATTATCAACACTGAAACCAAATATTATTTGGTTTATGGAAGTTATTCAATTAGTTTGCGAACTTTTTGATCACCCCTCGTATTGTCATGCTACCGGCGTTTTATTTTTGTATTGTCAAACTATTCTTCAGAATTCTATTTTGACGTTATCTCTGGTCTCCCGTTAAGAATTGAAATACATTAAATTAATTAAATTTTTTGAATTTAATTAATAATTACCGATCCAGAAATCTTGTCCCGCTTCACCAAATCCATTTTTATAATCGTCCCATGTTCTATCAAAACTCACGGATCCAGTAACACGTTTTTGGATTACCTTTCAAAAAATACATTAATCTAATAATAATTTTTTTCAGCAATACTTTTTACATGTTTGTGTGTGTGTCTATCACGGACAAAACAAGAACAAAATATATAAATCTGTACTCTAATGTAATGCGTCATTTTTTAATAAATAAAGGAATAAATACCGTCCAGCCTCCTCCCATCGTGATCATATCACAGTATACTCTGACAGGGCGGGGGTCTGTACCAAAGGGATAAATCTCGTATACACCGGAATATGTATGGCCATTTTCACGAAGGCCCTTACAGTCTTTAGCTGAAACAAAAACGAATAATGTGAAAATGCATTTGATAAAGGTTGTTTCTAAAATGGATTTGTAAGCGTATATAGATAACAAACACAAGTCATTTCTAAGTTCCAAATTAATCATGATTATATTAAAGTTACATTGTAGTAAATATAACGTTCTAGTTCTTTGCGATACGGATTAAGTTAATATATTCTATATCAATAATTAGTTCGAAAATCTATATCAATCATCGGACCACCGTTCAAACATCCATATCATGATCTTCGACCAGTAGAGTAAACACTATATACCGTCCATCTGCTTCCCCTTGTTTTCATGTCACAGAACACTGGGACTGAATCGGAGTCGGTACCAAAGTAAATCTGGTATACACCAGAATTAATGTTACATGTACCATTTTTACGGAGAACCTTGCAATCAGCACCATCTAGTGATATTGATTTTAGAAATATATATATGCAAATTTGAAAAAAAAAAAAAGAAAGACCATAAAAACCCAATCTTTTTCCTCTTCATTTTTAAAATGAAGCATATTGAGATCAAGAATAGTTGTCAACATTAAAAATGTATGAAACAATACAAAACTAGAACTATCCAAACGGGACAAAATACTCCTCGCTGAGTTTTTCAGAAGTGCTAAATCATATATATTTTATCGATCTAAGAGAAAAGAGAAATGCTAAAACATTTTAGTGCAAATGTCATTGCTCATTATATTTCTATAAATGAAACGAAGGCACAGCCTAATAAAAAATTAGACTAAATATACGGACCAGACACAAATTATGAACTTTTTCTTTCAGTGACCTTGAACTAACATAAATGACCTTCGTTCAAAGTCATATGCAATGTTTGTGTGAAGTAGTAGATTCAAGTTTTTCCATTATAAAGAAATATATGGACAGGCCACAAATTATAAATTTTTTCTTCCAGTGACCTTGAACTTCCCCAAATGACCTTGATCTAAGGTTATGACACATTCTCAAACACTAATTATGAAATTTTTCTTCCAGTGACCTTGAACTTAACCAAGTGACCTTGAACCAAGGTCATGACACATCCTTAGGTCAGGAGGAATCTTTGTATGAAATGAGAACCTAGTAAGTTTATTCATAAGAAAGATATGGACCGCAAACAAATTATGAAATTTGTCTTTCAGTGACCTTGAATTTCCCCAAATGACCTTGGGTCAAGGTCAAGACACACCCTTAGGTCAGGAGGAATCTTTTTGTGAAATTAGAACCTACCAAGTTTATCCATAAGAAAGATATGGACCGGAAACGCCGTATACTCCTTGTCATAAACTAGAACTGTCCAAACGGGACAAAATACCCCCCCGCTGGGTTTTTCAGAAGTAAGTTTTTCCATAATAAAGATATGTTTGAAACACGAATTATGAAATTTTTATTTAAGTGACCTTGAACTTCCCCAAATAACCTTGAGTCAAGGTCATGAAACACCCTTGGGTCATGGGCAATCTTTCAGTGAAATGAGAACCTACCAAGTTTATCCATAAGAAAGATATGGACCGGACTTGAATTATGAAATTTTTCTTCCTGTGACCTTGAACTTCCCCAAATGACCTTGGGTCAAGGTCATGACACACCCTTAGGTCATGGGCAATCTTTGTGTGAAATGAGAACCTACCAAGTTTATCCATAAGAAAGATATGGACCGGACACGAATTATGAAATTTTTCTACCAGTGACCTTAAACTTCTCCAAATGACCTTGGGTCAAGGTCACGACACACCCTTGGGTCATTGGCAATCTTTGTGTGAAATGAGAACCTACCAAGTTTATTCCTAAGAAAGATATGGACCGGACACGAATTATGATATTTTTCTTCCAGTGACCTTGAACTTCCCCAAATGACCTTGGGTCAAGGTCATGACACATCCTTGGGTCATGGGCAGTCTTTGTGTGAAATGAGAACCTTCCAAGTTTATATATAAAAGATATGTATTAAACATGATTTATGAAAATTTTCTTCCAGTGACCTTAAACTTTCCCAATGACCTTGGGTTAAGGTCATGACACACCCTTGGGTCATGGGCAATCTTTGTGTGAAATGAGAACCTACCAAGTTTATCCATAAGAAAGATATAGACCGGACACGAATTATAAATTTTTTCTTTCAGTGACCTGGAACTTCCCCAAATGACCTTGGGTCAAGGTCATGACACATCCTTAGGTCATGAGCAATCTTAGTATGGAGTAGTAGATTCTAATGTCCCTCTGTAAGAAAGATATGGACCGGACACGTTTGCACAGACAGACGGACGGACGGACACACAGACAGACGGACAAGGTGATTCCTATATACTCCCCCAAACTTCGTTTGCGGGGGGTATAAAAATCCGCCGTCAATTCAGTGTATAAACAATAGACTATCAATTAGTATAACCAGAAGTCTCTGTCGAGACTGTAACTCTACTGGTTTATACTTAAAACAAAGGAAGACGAAGTAGCAGGTGGGACTTGAAAATTTAAAACAGCAATGAACAGAAAAATAATCCTATCCTTGCCACTCATCAAAATAAAAACCGATGCACAGAATTATGTTCTTAGTACAGTCTACTTGTGTTCCAAGTTATATTAATCGGACCAGAACTGTAGGAGGAGTAGCATTATGAAAAAATTTCACAGAAATTTATATTTCTAGTAACCATGGCAACACCGTTCATCGAAATCAAAAACCGATACACAGGAATTATGTATCTTAGTGTAGTCTACTTGTGTGCCAAGTTATATTGAAATTGGACCAAAACTGTAGGAGGAGTAGCATTTTGAAAAATTGTTTACAGGCAGACGAACGGACACATTACTATCGAATAAGCTCTTCTGGTCTCTGATCAGTAGAGCTAAAAAACGCCAGTCAGCATTTTACTCAATGATAAATTATTGTCTTAAATTTGAGTTTGTTGACTTTTGATCTTGAATACTGTTCGTAATCTCCATGTTTCATTGTATTTGCTGACAAGGTCATTGTATCGGCCATAAAACTCAACGAAATAATTAGCTGCAGAACTGTAGCTCTCCGAAAAACGATATATTGATAGACCGGAGAGCTACAGTGCCACCCATTGAAAAAAAAAACTGTATATTTATTGCGCACAAAAAAGTGCAGAGGTTTGAGACTAATTAGTTTAAAGAAAATAAAGACAAGCATGCCAGATATGGTTGTGCAAATTAATTATCGTAGAAGACAAAGGTATAAACAGTTTACCCGTGCATTTACTCTGAAAGTGTAAATGAGCGCGACTCTAAGGGAGGGGGAGTTAGATACCTTGTGTTATTATTATACGTTAGGTAAAAAATTATTACAGAGAGAAGTGCCTCTGGTCCACACATTGCACAGTTTTTGAAAAGGCACTCTTGCTTTTAATATTTGATTAATAACAAGGAGCAAATTTCAAACAATTCATTCATTTTCAAATTTTAAATATATAAGAACAGCCCCCCCCCCCCGTCTTTGGTACCCCTGACTCTGGGGCCTTGACACAATTCACAATTCTTGAAAATTAGGGCCCTTGATCATAATAACTATATAGGTAGTTCATCTGCTTAATACCCAGGAGCAGAGATGAAATTTTTTAAAGATTTAATGTATTTTCACTATATAATCAATAAAGCCCCGCTATAACACTAGAACCCCTGACCCTGGGGCCATAAAAATCACAATTTGGGAAGCGGCATTCTTGCTCGTCCTAACAATGTATTTAGTTAGCTATTCAATACCTAGGAGCAGAGAAGAAATTTTTCAAAGAATTCATGTATTTTCACTTTATAATCAATAGAGGCCCGCCCTAACACCAGAAACCCTGACCCTGGGGCCATAAAATTCACAATTTTTTTAGACTAAGAGGCACTCTTGCTCATCATAACTAGCACTTAGTTAGTTTATTTAATACCTAGGAGCAGAGAAGAAAATTTCTAAGAAACAATGTATTTAACTATATACTCGTTTTAGCCCCGCCCTAGCACTAGAATCATTGACCCTGGGGCCATAAAATTCACAATTTCAGTAGACGCAATCTTGCTCATCATAACTATGTACTTAGTTTATTTAAGACCCAGGATCAGAGAAGAGGATTTTCAAAGAAATAATTCATTTTAACTATATACTCGTTATAGCCCCGCCCTAGCACTACTGCCCCTGACCCTAGGACCATGACTTTCACAATTTTGGTAGAATGCTTATTACAAGCATGAAAACAGTTTGACTGCTTGATGTCCAGGAGTAAAGAAGAGGAGTTTTAAAGATTGCAGAAATTTTAGTGGTTTAGGCCCCACCCCTCAGGCCCAAGAGGGGCAGGGATCCTGAAATTCAAAATCTTTGTTCCCCTTCAGCCATAGATGCTTAATTTCGTTGAAATTGGTTCAGTGGTTGCAGAGCTGAAAGTGTTTCAATGTTAACGCACAACGCACGATGATGGACGAAAACGGACAGCAATAGTTAACTTACTCAGGTGACCTAAAAAATGTTGATATTTAATCCTTCTTCATAAATGTGATTACCTGATATTATTGATATAATACTGCTTCCTTCGTCTATTATAGGCTTTAATTTCTTTTCAGAAAAATATTGATATTTAGTCCTTCAACATATATGTATGAAGTGACTGGCTGATAGTATTGATTGATTGTATCATTATAATAAAGAGTCCTGCAAATATTTTAACGCGTACGGTAAAACAGTACGGTAAAACAGAGGTGACCGTAAATAATTGGAAACCATTTATCCAATTGGAGAAATGCGACATTTCAAAGTTTTAAAAAAACCCGATATCTTTTATTGTTATTACATGTTCAACTCTCCCTCCATCAAGTCATAACTAATTGTTTGATATTATTACATGTACATTATTTAATATCATTATAAGACAGCAAATTTGATTTTAAAAAATTACAAAAATGTTTACTTGCATGACTTTGTTTACTTCAGTCATGCATATTTTACTGTAAATAACTAATTTTTCTGCATTTAATATCTATAAGAGAAATGTTAAATATTTTATTAAAACAAAAAATTATGATACATTAGCAGGCATTTGGACAAGAAACCACAGGGTCATATTTTTTATTGCCATTTTGGGTAATCTTCTTAATGGTCCATTTCATTTTTGTCCCCCGCTTGAAAAGTGGGGGATATTAATTTGGTTCTGTCTGTCCGTCCGTCCGTCTTTTTTAGCTCTACTGGTCAGAGACCAGAAGAGCTTATGTGATAGTAATGCGTCCGGCGTCCGTCCGTCTGTCTGTCTGTCTGTCCGTCTGTCTGTAAACAATTTTTCAAAA